CGTGATGATGTTACATGTGGCAGCCGCCTCGCTTCCTCTCCTGCCTTCCCATTTCGTCGGGCCTTCGTCGGCCCTTTGTGCCCACACGCAAAGGCAACTGATACCGTCGCTGATCTCGTTCCCGGCGAGTCGAGGATGCGCACGTGCAATTATTTGGACACTTTGTCGCCATATCGCAACTACGTTATTCCCGGCAATCGAGAACGCCGCTCGGAATCCCAACTTGTATATCTCAGCCCGACGAGAGCACGAAAAGCGCTCTCTCGTGTCTCTCGCGTAGCTATTTGCCCGCGAACGATAGCGAGCGGTTATTGTATCCCAGAATTATCGCCACTTTCTTCAGTTACGTATAATAGAGAAGATAGTAGAAAAAATAATTAACCTGCTACGTTCCTGAGGTACAAAGAATTTTTAATTTAAAGGTTACAAGGTATAGCTTTTTCTAGAGAGAAATTTTCAGGCCTCTCTAATAAGTAATACGAATCTAATTTTTAATTCACTTTATGTAAGTGCAAAAAGTTTAATGTTAAAAATCTATTAGTAAAATTTTGTTAAACAACAATTTCATTTTGTCAATAATTTGTAGATAAAAAATGCCGAATATCTCCGGAACAATATTAGAATGTTATTGTACTCTTGGACGTGTTTGAAATTAACTCACATCAAGGTAACAAATTTGGCTATGCAAATGTTTATCTTAGGGTCTTCCTCGTGTAATAGGCTTAAAGCCCGTTTTATCCCGTGCGTTCTGGTACAGAACGTCTGTCCTCCCGTTCCGAGGATCCATATCTTAGGGTGAAATATTAAACGACCCGTAAACTCTTAATTGAAATCAAGTTGATCTATGTGCAATGAATGGGGCTAACGTAACAAACCGATAGAAGAATATAAAAAAATGTGCATTACGCTGAGAAATGTCTACTCTATTACGGTCTACATATTCGTTCGTCATGTAGATGTGGAGCGTCGATTAATATTACCTCGATCCATACGCTCCTCCGATATGAATTCGCGCAAGTAAAGTGCATTATATTATTAACCTATCCTCGAAACCGCAGCTGCGTATCGGCTATCTGTCAATAAATTATTCAACAAACTGAAAGAGTCCGGCTTGATAAATAACAAATTTTATAAGAGTGCTACTTGCAACATCATGTTTTCTTTCGTGTTTGCGAATACATGGTGAGACGGTGACTTAGCGAGGCTAAACGATGGTGCTCAGAAATAGATTACATGTGCATAAATGTATGTATGTATGCGTGTACATATTTCAGTTACGTATTTTCCCAATATATAAAAGACGCTGCCACTACATATTCACGTTCATCAGCAGTAATAGCGAGGTAACGTCTATCGCATAGCCATTAAATATGTTAAATGTGGTGTCATAATGTATACGAGGCTGCTGCCAAGTACTGCTCTAAAATTCCATTTACCTCAGTAAATTTGAAAGTTTTGATTGACTATCTTGAAGGTAGTTTATGCGATAAGTAATGGCTCCGTCTTAACTTAACCGATGAGACGCGGATGAATCCTTCATTTCAATTTAAGCTTTAACAACAGCATTTGGAAATTTGAACAGCACTCGTATTTTCTACTTTCCACCGGACGCATTTAGCATTGCCGCATTATAAGATAATTAAGATTCTAGGAATTAGTATCGCCACAATTTTATTCCACGTATAAAGATGTATCTGTAAAATTGAGAGACTCAAGATACAACATCGAGAGCTTTGGCGCTAATGAATTGATGATGAAGCGTCCTTTATAGTCTCTTTCTCTCCTTTGGCTCAATATTACCGAGAAGAACCTCACAGCTGTCTATGATTTTTTCAACTGTTCTTTACCGGCATGATTCGAGCAAAAAAGCAATGTTATAAAAAAAAATACAATCGGAATTCTATGAATAGAAGAGGGAAGAAAAAGAGTCAAGAACGAAATGAAAAAGAAGAAGATGAAAGATTTATCAAGGTGGAAGCACACAAGAGGTGGCAGAGAGAGGGGGAGAGAAAGGGAGAGAGAGAGAGAGAGAGACGTTTCTCTTCATCAAAAATAAATTTCTCGAAGACAATAAAGTGGCTATAAACTCGGAAGATAATATCGACACTACCTGATATACGAACGAGATAAGAATTATAGCGACGGTGGGACATCGGAGCGCCCTGCGTTGATATCATGAAATCTCAAATTAATTACAGCCAGGATGTGTACTGGCTTTTTCAGGAACCACGAAAGTAACTGCGGAAAGCTCGCGATGAAAAAGTCCAGCCAGGATTATCTCGCGTCCAACGTAGGCGCTCAACGCAAACAGAATAAATAATTAATCACCGTCCACCAACCGCATAAAAGATAAGTTACTTGCAGACGGGCGGTTTGACGCATCAGCGCGACCAAATGCTGCGGCAAAAGAAGGAGATGATAACTAGAATACATTCATATTGCGTATTCGCGCAATGGATTCAGCAAACTTTAGCTTTCCGAAAGCTCGAGTGACGTGTATCACGCAAACAGTTCGCGTTGTTCCCTTCGGTTTTATTCCCTTATGCTCGATCGATGATGTTAAGACAAGGAGTAACATTCGACATGCCTTCCCTCTCGCTGCCAAGGGAAACGAGTGTGAAAGAAAAGGGAAAAGCGAAGGGAGGGAAAAATAGTGAGGAGATCGCGGTTCCAGAGTGCATCTTTCTGCCGTCTCGATTTTCTCGAACTCATCCCTATCGCATCGCGTCCTACCCCACGGCCTCTTTCCTTTACCCGTCTATTCTCACGTTCTTATTCCCGTGCTGTGCTCTTACCTTTTTTTTTGCACCCGAGGGAAACACGAAGCACCTTCTTAGGGAGATAAAGAAGAAACGGTTGTCTGGATGCTCGCCTACGAAAGCAGTCGATGCACAAGGAGACGAACCGACAATAGCAGCCGCCGCATTCTCGCGTCTCTGATCTACTGATTGCTCGCTCACGCGATCTGATCGATAATATAGCGAAAGAATCTGTAAATCGGTCTGTCGTATACGAGTTCATATATGTGTACAAGTGAGGTGTTAAATCTACACAACCGTTGAGGATTTCATTTTATTAATAAAGATTCTTCCGTTTTGCATACTTTGTCTTTATAATTAATATAAATGAAACAGTTGACTACCATAATGTATTTTTTGCGCTTTATATTAGGCATAAAATTATATTAAGGTTAGTTATATTATTTAATATTAATGTGTTGGAATTAAAATTAAAATTTAAAAAATTAATTTGAGAACTTTGAAATGATAAATTGTAGCTGCGAATGTAAACGCATAATAAAAAAATTTCACCGACATTTTTTTCAATTTGACTTACGATTCTCTAATTTGACTCGCATTTAATATGAGCGAAATAAAACTTTTCTGCACAAATATCCGAGGAAATCGCCTAATTAAATTAAAACACTCTGAAAAATTCCGTTGCAAAAACAAAACTCTTGATTTCTCGTGTTGTGTGCGAATTGCATTTGGAACATAATTATTGGACCAGATATATCCACTCAAATTTTTACTGCCCTTTTTCCCCCACTCATGCTGCTTTCGCCTCGTCATGCGCACCGCGACGGCAGATGTATTTTTTATCAGCGATATTACAACGCATCCTCGTAAATGGGAAGACCGCAGGCGATGGAAAAGTAACCGGTGTAGTTATTGATTTTCTGTTAACTGGCTATTTCGCCGAGGGAATTACCGCGGACGCATTTTCAACGTGTCATTTGCTCCAACGTAACATGCAGCTATGAGAAGGTGCTACAGAAGAATCTGCGCACGTAACCGCATATTTACCGTTTGTGTAACTACATATATGTCTATTCGTACATTTATATGTCGATTAAGGAAACTAATCTTTTCCAAAAGCTCAGAACCTTACTTTGTCAACTAATTGTAAGATTAATTCGGTTTGGTGAATTAGGAAAGAACAAAAGAAAGATAATAAATGGAATATGGAGTGATGAGTTAGATGAAATAAAAGGGAAGGCAATTAGGAAACTGTGGAAAGAAAGAGAGCGTAGAATTGTTAAGCAAAAGAATGCTAAAGAGGAAAGAAGTGATGAGTAGAGCGCGACAAGGGAGGTGATTGGACAGCAAGTAGCGAACAAGGAACTGTGAAATATAGTGTGAATAATGTAACAAGTTAAGCTGTACAAATGTAGTAAATTAGGTATTATATATAAATTAAGTAAATTGTGTAAATATGTGTTAATAGCGATATATGTAAAGGCAAATATTACAGGTAGGGATAGCAATATTTAAGCAAGGAATTGGGAATGTAAATAAGAGTAAAAAGACGTTTAAATAGAAAATGCGTTAACGGAAAATGTACACGGTTAAAATTTGAGTTACCGAAGGTAGGCAAAATAGCTATAAGGGAGTGTGAAGGTATAAATGAGTTAAGGCACTGATTGTAAACCAAGTCCACTTCTTGGTATGTATACCAAAGTTAAAATAAATATTATTAACTAAGATTAATTCTTATATTTATTTTACTCAACATGCATTAAGGGTGTAAACGCAGTCAATCGTAGACGTTGGTGGATAATTCACCGTATGTTTTTCTCCTGTCTAAATATAAAAAGTTTTCGAAAGAGAATCTTACTCAACAAATAATTAAATTCGATCAACAATTTCAAATTAATATTATAATTAATAAATTAGTATGGCTCATATGTGTTAAACACAAATTTCAACGAATTTAAAGGACTCAGAGCCGTGACAGGGTGGCTATTATAATTAATTATAATAATTATAATTAATATTTTTCTATGTTTTACAATTGCTGCCGAATGTCTATGGTTATCTGTGGTATCTTTGTGCAATTGTTATATAAGATTTGCAGGTTTATGATTTACGGAACCTTCTCTTAAAGATTCTTAAAGTATTCGAGTCTTAAACCATTAAAATAAATTACGTAAACAATTTCTTTTTACAAGAATTAAAGTCGACTGCAAGAAAGAGATAAAAGGGCTTGATTTCACTCACCAGTTTCAGCCACGCGTTGGTCGTGAGTATTTGGTTCTTTTCATCCTGCAAAAACAGAACACAATGTTATTTTATACAAATATTACAAAAATTGCACGTATTGTGTCATGTATACCTCTGTCATATATAATTAAAATTACAATTAAAGTATATAACGTACTTCGAGATATTTTTCTTTGTACATATTAAATTCAATCACTTCTACTTCAATTGTAATTAAGAACAGTATAGGTTTATAGTAGAATAGTATAATGAAATTGTACACAATCTCATTTCTCTTTGCTCTCATTTCTCATTGAAGACTAATATGATATTAACCTTCTAATTTACGATTTATTTGCTCATTTTTGTTAGAGAAAATATAATTAATTTTTTTACGTACAAAGTATTTATATTTTTTTCTAAATCCTTTTCTAATACCTCCTGATAATTACGTTTGCCTCATTTTCTTACCTATTCGTAGAATTATTGTTCTTCAATTGTTCTTCAACACAAATAATTTGTTCAAAGCTGATGCTATTGACGTTATCGAAATATATATAATATATATACACACACATACATCTGAATATAACTCATAGCTTCATACACCTATCTCATTCACGTTGGCGCGCAAACTCAGTCGCACGTTTCATTCGATACGAGCAAACAGCACACGCATATGGCAAATATTTATTCACAAAATGAGTTGGACATGCGATTTAACTTCACTAGTGCGCTCGATAACGTGTATTCTAAAAAATTCTCAAAACACAGAAAAACGTTTGATCAGCGTCTATTATAATTTACTGTAGGTACATAATGTATTATAAATGCGTAACATAGTTAAAACTAGTACTTGAGTTGAAAATTATTAATCATACTGGGCGACAAAAAGTTAAAATTGAAACTGTAGCTGTAATATATCCCATTTATTATTATACGCGTTACAAGTTTCTTTGCGAAAAATCTTGCAATTGCTTTATCCGGCCAGATTGCGTATAAAATATGCGCCACGAAATTTGAAGGATCGTGACAAGAGAAATAGTAACGACCGGGGGATGCGATTCGATCGTAAGAAACGCCGCTTCCAAAAAGATAACCGCAAATTGCTGGCTGCAAATTTTCTCTCTCCAAGCGGTGGTTTTGACCGAGTCAACCGAAAAGAATCGTCCTCTCATGCCATGTTATCGAGTTTCGAAGTGATTTACGAAACGAAATGGTGTTTTCGGCATCGTTGCCGACAAACAGACTTCATATTCCTATAGGCAGTTGTATTAATCGAATTCGTTACTCGCCGGACGCATTTCGCGCTGCTCCGCGATGTAAAACGAGAATAAATTGCCGAGCAGTTTTCGAGAAGATCGAAAAGCATGAGTAAGCGGTAAATATAAGTAGAGGGAAGTCCTCTATTATATGAGAAAGGCTCCTAATGTGAGATAGCGGAGTTTCCGCTAAATTAATAGGCATCGTCTGTCAATCCTACCATGAATTTATTGCCCTTAAAATGAAATCTCTTGTTTAGTGGAAAATTGATTGTTAAATTGTGTAATCGTTGCGAAAAAAGATTTGTGATTGAATTTGGACGTTGAAAACCTATCTCATATTAGAATTCTATCTCATAATAGAGGACTTTCCTCTCTCTATATTATTTTTCTGTTTGATAATTTTCTCTCGCAAGAATGTGCAACGTCGAATAAAAAAGAGGATGCGGTGGTGAATCGTGGCATGCAAACGCGTTGTTTGTCCATTTAGTTGAAATCCACTACAATATATACAGCTGTAGTAATTTGCACTGTAGGTATTTCGTCGCTCATACTGCACAATTTCGAGTGATTATAAACGCCACATTGCAAAATTTAATAAAGAAAAAGAAATTGATTGGAAAAGCTAGAAGCCAACAATTGAAAGGATGCAAAATGCAAATTTAAATTGCAATCTTCTCGTGAAGTAATGTAAAATAATATTCAACCAAGTTTACATCATCAAATTCTACTTGAAAAATACGTGTTTTTGACAGAGAACAAAATATTTTGTTTCACTGCCATAATTATATTTTGCACTCAATACAAAATTGCAACCTAAATAATATAATATTTGCGACTGAAAATAGCTTTCGATTTACTTATTATTTTTCTCTCTTTTGTTACGATTCATGGAAGAAGCTAAGAAATATACGCGGGATAAACTTTTAACAAAAGCTCAATAAGTAAAGTCGAAAGAAAATAATTCCAGGTTTTTTGTCGGGTTTCTTTTTTATTTTCTTGTTGCGCAGTGTGAAATCTAATGGCGAGGATTTTGCGTGACAAAGATACCGGTCGTACGACCCCGGACATTTCTCTCGTAGTCACGTCTTTTCGCGGCGTACTTCCGCTTCCGCTACGTCGACGTTCTTTATGTATGAGTAACACGGACGCGTTTTGTCACGACTGGCTCATTGGCGCGACATATAATAATTGCACCTTGCGACAAAGACTAAAAACTTACGGCACAGTGCAACGTTCATCACTCGTAGTGTCGCCCTGGGTCAAATAAGCAAATGAAATTACAAGTGATGCTACGATTTAATTTCTGTCCATGATGAGATATCGCAGTTGATATCGACAAAGTTATCGCAATATCTCTAGTTTGCAAATAGACGTAACAAATGGATAAAAAAACATTAGCTTCCTATTTTACGAGCAGAATGAAAGCGAGATTTTTACTGTAGAATAATTTTTTTGCGAATGTTTATAAATTCTTCAGTTTTTCTCGTAACAGACAGTGCGCTACCCAGTTGGGTGTTTTATACGTTATATGCGTTATTGCGTTACAAACTGTCGACGTGACATAACAATCTATCAAACTCGCTGAGCTCAGCTCAAAACGAAATCCGGCAAGCGGGATGAATAAAAAAGTGCGAATTTCATGGCTCTCTCGTTTTCCCATCTGAAATGATGCGAAATTGGCATACGGATTCCTCGTGACGTCGACATTATTCGACAGATTTTGCGGAGATACACAAAATGCGCGATTTCTGATCGATGAAAGGCAAAAGCTTCATTTTGCGACCGACAATGGCGGTAACAATGAACTCTGCATTTCTTTCGTTCCTCGGTGAATGAAATGTATTACGAATTGAATTCTCATTGATTTCATTCAATGGGGATCCACAAACGGTCCCCACGAAGGAAGCCGTTCGAGTCCAATAAACATCCACGTATTATTGTACAATTTAACCACAGAGAAACGAGAAGTCTTAATTAAGGACGAGCGATTAATCATGATAATTAACGTCATCAGGCGCTGACAAAGTGCATAAACATTCGTCAAGCGGAAAGGTACGGCCATTTCGAAACAGGAGTTTCTGCAATACACGCTATGATTAAGCGATGAAACATGTCGCACGACGCGTGTATTTTGACCGTATAATGCACAAGTTCTTTCTTTATTTTTGTTAGGTATTTTTGTGCGTTACGTAAGTAAAAACCTTGAATCACGTCACTAATAATTTGCGGTCGCTACAATTTCTGTTTCATATTTTCTTGCATTTTGAAAGAGAACACCCAAAGAGAAGTATTCTATTTTTGAGTGGTTCCCTCTTGATTTTAGAGGATTTTCCTATGAAACACGGTCTCAAGAAAATACTCTAAAATCTAGAGGAATATCCTATAACACTGAGGCATGAAATTTAAACTCCCAATCCTCTTAATGCTAGAGGAATCTTGTAATATGATAATATTCTTATTTTTAGTATCTATACAACTTTTTAAAAGAATTATGTTCTACTTTTAATCTTATAAAGTATTATAACCTCCTAACATCTTAAATATTCCTACATTTGTCGTAGTCGCACGACGCAAGCATCACAACGAGAGATTCAGTCAATTGCATTGACTGAGTTCCTCGTTGCACAGCTTGCGAAGTACGACTGCGATTAACGTAGAATAGACTTTACAGTTCTATATCCAAAAAGCTATCAGCAAAAACAAACTCACTCGCAAACATGGGCCAGTAGTCACTTAAATAGGCTTTCTCCAGAAATTTTTGTACCTCGTTCATGCCAAAGAGTTACCAAACTTTTACCAAATTGACTGCACTACACTACACTGTCGTGTATGTTACACGTGTTTCACAGCTCGCTACAAACAGGGCAACTGACACTGCCCTGTGTGTCGCGAACAAATAACAAGCGCACATGCTGCGATTCGCGTATCCGCGAATAATATCTTGCGTATCCTTTTATTTTAAGAGGCTAGTCGTATTACTGTGATGGAATTTTCTATAAAAGAATTTATTCTTAATTATAAATTATGAGTCTACTCTTTTAGAGATGAATATGTGTTAAAGTAAGTGAGAAATGCTTCATATAAGATTTCTTGCTTAGAGGAAATGCTTAGAGGATTTCCCCGCTTATGAATAGAATTTTTTTTTTGGGTGAAAGCACGAAAATAATATTAGTTTGGATTACATCTTATGCCATTCCTCGTTATTTTTGTTTATATACAATAATTTACAAAAATAATATATCACATACTGACAGTAGTAGACGAAAATACAGTGAAAATATGTTTGTCTCTTTCTGCGAGACAGATATATTTCGTTCGATTGCAGCAGCGGCGAAACAGTAGTGCGACTCGACGTCACATCGGCCGCGAGAAGTAGAAAAACTCGCGACTAAGCGCGGCCAAATGTTTACGACCTACCATAAAACATAAAAAGTTTATAGCACGCTGAAGAACTTGGAAATGGAATTAAGAAAAGCGTGATCGTTGCTTGCGATATTACATACATCCGGATATTGTTCCCTTTTATTCGGCCACTATCGAAAGGGTGATAAAAATCGCGCGATGTGACATAGTGACTACTATAAACATCACAGAACACGGAGGTAAGAGATTGATATCGCCAGTAAATAGTTAACAATCTTTGGAATATTTAGTCGACCCAACTGGCAGAAATTTGTCAGTCGGCATTTTTCTGGGAGTTGGGTCGACTAAACAAGATCTCCAAAGATTATCACAGAACACACTCGCGTTTACTGGTGCAATGATGGGACAGTTTCGAGAGTTACAATAAAATCTCGATTTAACATATCCCGATGTAGCGGATGTAACTGACTAATAAAAATGTGCGTCGTGCGCATTTCATTCATATTGCCATTTATTTTTAGTAGCGTAAGATAGACATTTTATTTTCGGTTTTAGCCTGTCTCGAGGTATCGCACGGTCAGATTGTATATACAAAGTGTTTTTCTGAATTTCTGAATTATGACTTTATTTACTAAATAATTTTGCAATTCTTACACTTCAAAGTGGCGTCAAGTAACAAAGAAATTAAGAAAGAGCGCGTAAACTTAAATGTTGCACAGATAATTAGAGCTAATTGAGATTTTTATATGTTACAGTATTGTATTATTTTTTTTACATTAAGAACAATAAAAAAATGAAAAAAATGGCCTTCTTTAGAACAAGTTCGACTAAATCAGTTTGCTAAATCGAGGTTTCATTGCAATATTCTTCGTAAATGATGTTGTTTCATGAGATTTTCAGCTACCTAAAAACATGATTAGTTTCATCTTACGACTTTCCGAATACAGAAAGTTCTGTGGATCTTGTTTCACCATCGCGTTCTCTGCTTTACCCAACATACGGAATCAGGTTCCTGCCATTATGAACTTTTCTACTTATGTGTCCAATTAAAGGGACGCCGCTTCTGTACGAAAGATCTCGCTTTCCAATTCCGACAACATCAAATAAAAGTTTAAATTTAAGACTAAATGTATTAATGAGGAACTTCTTCGGCTAGTACTCTCGTATTTAAATTACATAGAGTACTAGTTTAACCCGAGATTAAATTATGCCAAGTTAAATTGAAAATAATTGTGTACTACATAATTTTCAAGATAATTTAAACGGTGGAATTTGTAAAACAGTTATTCGAATAATATTAACATTGTGTATTTCGATTGTATAGTATTAAATAACGAATTGTACCACTATATTGCATTAACTGTATAACAAAAGAAACAATTCAAAGATTTTCTTCGAAAATAATGGAGGAATTTTTGCAGTATAAGATTTATGAATTAATTCATTAAGGTTGGCGGGTTTCTTGTTGCAACTCGCGCCGGATAAGAAAACTACAGAGATACCCGTCGTTTCCAAAGGCAACGATACTTTGAAAAGGGAAACGGCAAAAAGCCCAGTCAAGTTGAGCGATGCGACTTAGCGAAACGGCGACGCGGACGTAAGGGTGGCGAACAGGGGTTGTAATGGAATATGTTTTGCTGCTCGAGGGATGAAAGAGAGTTCGCTCCGGAAATGTCTGCGCTCTTAATGTCCAGAACACATAGCGGCCTTTTGTTTTTACAGAGGATATATCAGATTGTATGAACTTCTAAAGGAAAAGCTATGGCGGAATATTACGATAACTATAACAATGAGAATAATAATAATGATGGCACGAAACTGAAGAAGAAATGAAGAAGACTCGTGCTATCCGGATAATCATATCCTTTGTGAATAAATGAAAGAAGTGCCGGGCGACACGCGCGGCGGCGCACGTTTACTGCAAACAGTGTTTACTTTCTATAATTAAAGTTACATTTATACTTATGTGAAGGCTTGAGTAAAGTCGACTAGTGAGATAAATATCTGAATAGGTTGTATTTATTTAAAAAGATGGTAAAGTACCTGAGAAATATTATTGTGGGTAAAACAGTTGTAGAATCTTACGGTCTTCATTGCGAAAAGTTAAGTACGGAAGCCTGTGACGTGAAGAGGCTCGGCGTGACGGATGTATTCCCTCGGCCGTTAACTCTGGCCATAAGGATGTTTTGAGAGGAAACACCTCCAATCGGTTTCTTTAATCCCGGCTATATATTACGCCCGCCAGGTTGGCGGGGCCGAAGTGGATTGCAAGTATCTCGACGTACTCTCCCCTGGTCAATTTATAATTGTAATCGGGGGCCCGGGGAAAAAAACTCCGGCATCGTAAATTCTTAACGAACGTTTGAATGCCGTCCATTCGTTACGTCTATCAAATATTGATCAATCGGGATTTTATTTATACGGATCACGATAATGCCCACGCGGCTAAAACGCTATCGACTATTCTCCAACTGGTCTACGGGGATCATTCGATACACTTGCAATTTCAAGCTTGGGCGATATAATATGTATGCATCAGAAAATATCAGGATACGAAAAAGATATACACGCTTCTGCCATCGATGAAAATTTAATATTTACGAACGGAAAGTTATATAGATAGGATTTAGCAACATTTTGCCGCGCACACAGAAAATACGTGTATTCTACTTTTCGTGCCAAGAATTGACATTCGCCCCGGCGTGCTCCTCATCCAAATTGAAACGTTTCAAAACGACTCAAGTTATTTCTCGTCCAGACAATAAATCTGTAATGAGAGCGTTCGCGCAATAGTCTCGATTTTTCGCGTAAAATCATAATCGCGAAATAATTCTTGAAAAACAATTCAGTACATTTCTCTCTCGGTAAACATCTTGCAAGAATTTCCTTAAACACAGACTTAACTACACGCTAAATTCTTTTTGTCTTTTGTCAGCTCAATTTACTACCGGACAGGTTTTCAGATCTTCCTTAGGAACCGTAACATCTGCGTTATGTGCCACGTATATAGGCGGTATACATTGTATACAATGATGATGGAAGTAAATAAGCGCGGTAAAGGAGACTGCGAAGATGGAGAGCGTAATGCAATCTTACCTCATTCGTCCCCGCTTAACCATGCTCTCATTTAGATAAGCCCGATATTTTGACGTGCAAAAACTTGCGCGGCTAATCTTGGCACTTCTTATCTCGAGGATTCACACGGAGGCTGCAGAGTAGCCGCCTTATAATGGATATTCACCCTTAAGATTTGAAATACATCCGCGAACTCATGCTAATCTTCGCCATACTTAAGATAGCCAACTTTAGATAGTGTCAGTTACTACAAATGTGAGCTGTTACATATTCAACAATTTAATTATTGTCAAATGTGCATTCCGACCTTATCGTTGTGTATTGAAATAATTGACACAGAGGACTTTCCCCTAACGATTCTAAGAAAGTTATATGTTCTCGGGACTGAAAAATGCGCAAGTGTGTGTGTGTTTTGTGTATAGTATGCCAACATACATACGTGACGAAAAGAAAAGATTCGGCAACTTACCACGTCGATGATTTGCTGCAGAGTGATGCCAAACTTCACTTCCAGCGGTTCGCTCTCATTCGCGACCGGTCGCTCCAAGGTGTTGTAATTTGCCAGCAGGTGATTCAATAAGCGTTTCTCGTGGCGCCCGCAAAGGCTTTCTGCGATAAAGAACGAGAAAAATCGAATGTCAGTCAAGCCTCGTACGTTATTCCGGAGGGTGTGAGCCGCAAATAATCGCGACCCTTGTCAAAGCGTATTTACGAACAGATACGAAAGAAAAGATCCTCGCTTCGTCGACAGCTTTTTTCCTCGCGCGAAAAAACGGCATAATAGGAGGCAATTTAATTATTTCTATTACAATGGGCAGAATAAACAATTCCGGGAACATTTTTCTATTCGCTGCTTCTCAAACAGTCAGCAATTTGCATCAAAAAGCAATTTTATTTGCGCAGCTTTTAATACTGATAAAAGCTACACGGGTTTTTTTTTCTCATCGGTTTTAACAAACATATTGTAGACTCGCGCTGCAATACTCAATCAATAATTAATAACATTCTACATATTAAATTCTACAGAATTAATATTAATCTATTTTGAAAAATATATAAAATGATATTGTTCTCGCTCTTTCCAAAGCTTTTAGTAAATTCATGTATTCTCTTGTTGCGATATAAATACTTTTGCCGAGGGATTTATATGCTAAGAAATAAAGACATAATTAAATACGAAAAAAAGACAAGATTGTCCAAGAAATTTAAAAATAAAAACGAAAGGTTGCCTGCATCACATGTTACTCTTCGTGTAAAATATCTTTTACTTGTTAAAATTAAATCTTTTACTTGTTAAAAGAAATTCAATAAACACACAAGCCTATAGTTTTGTCTTTCAAATCCCTTATGCTAATGTCACTTGCTCGCGATCGATCATCTTTCGGCGGTCCTAATGCACTAGGGACGAATAAATGCATATCGATGATTAAGTTGACGAGTTCCGAAGTTGCGCGAGCACCGATGCGATGGAGAGCTCGGCCCGGAGCTCCGAAGCCGCCCAGGGCCGCGGCGCTTTGGTCCACTTTCCCCGTTCGGTTCCGGTCTATCCGCGGCTGAACGACAGCGCGAGCAAACTACTTTAATCCTTCGACAAACACGGCGTGAGTGCATTCAGTCCCGGACCATTCCGGGCCAGATTGTACTCGAGCACGTGCTGCTGCGGGATCAAGTTTGGGCTCCAGCGCGGTGTGTGCCGACGCCACAGAATACGAGATGCAACAGGACTGCGTCCACGGGGAGAATAATGGTCGTCGGCCCCGCGGCTGAATTCGGCGCACGTGCGCCCATTGAAGACGGGGACCCGAGGTATCGTGAGGTCGCGACAAATATACCGTGCGCCGTGAAACGTTTATCGCCGCGCGGAACACGGTCTATCGCCTGGCTCAAATATTTCGCGATCACATTCCGACTCTCCCTCCCTGCTTCGTCTTCCCTTTGGACACATTAATATTCTGAGTTCGGGCGGGGTATCGGGGTATCTTGGAGGGTCCGAACTTTCTCGCAGAATTCGTCGTTTCATCATGTTACGAATTCCGTCGGCCGATAATCACGTACTTCGTGCAACTCGGTTCGCCCGAAACTCGGGGTCGTTCGGGCTGACAAGGGGGACCATTATATGCATAATACAATACGGTGTATTCCGCTTGCACAGAGTTAAAGTTTCATAGCGTGATGATTAATTTAACACTCAACGATGATTGTCCTTCGCATTAAAAGCGCGTTTCTTTGCAATTAACTACAAGGAGTTTCTCAACCAGCGCACACATTTTTAGCACATGGATTTCGCGTATAAACTTACATCGTAAATGCACAACTGAAATAAATCCATATATCATTTTGTATGAAATTCCGTGATAAAGCTTTTGCAAGGATCAATCTTGGCTGTGAGAATAAAAATGAAACTAAATCTTTGCAACTACAGGGCAGCATTCTTTACTCAACAATTTAAGTTTTTGGCAGTTGAAATGATAAGTATGAATAATACTCTCAACTTTAGTGTATAACTGAAGGAAACGGATTAGGGAATTAGTTGTTCACAGCCAAAGGGGTCAAAGGTTAGAAAAACAAAGATCTTCGAATATACACAGGACACATACACACAGACCTTGGCTGTGAGAATGAAGCGTGACTCTTACGCGCTTCCGAATTGATTGGGGATCTCAACTGAAAAGAAACTAAATCAGAAAGTCGACTAATCAGAATTCTTCAATGTCGCCAGCGGTAATTAACAACGTCGGTGTTTTCTTGATCACACCTGGCATTTTTAATAATACAGAAAACTTATTGCGAAACATATTACCTCAACCAGGGTTCGAACCTGGACCACCCTACACTCTAGGCGGGCGTCTTACCAATTCGACTACCGAGGCACATGATAATATTTGTTGCAATAACAGTATAAAGGTGTTGTCTACGCGTACATTTTCGACTTTTGTCAACCGCGCACCGATAAGGGTTGTCGGCCGTACACAGAACTGTCGAATACGCGATTTTTAAGTTTTCCCTCCCCCCTCCCCCCTTTCCCAATTGCGTGGGAAACGCCATGTTTGAGGTCAATGGTGTATAATCAACTAATTAGAATTCTTCAATGTCACCAGTGGTGAGTTATTTTTCGCAATAAATTTTCTGTATTATTAAAGATGTCAGACATGGTCAAGAAAACGCTGACGTTGTAAATCAGAAAGACCTCTGATAATGCCGTCCGATCTATCCTTTAGGCTAGAATACAGACCAGAGCCGTCAAGGATGCAAATAGAAGTCTTGAAAGCTTACCGATACTCAAAGTAATGTAAAACCAGTAATGGCGACGCAAGAAGTAGGGCGGGTGCCCTCTCGCCTCTTTAAGAAGTCACACACGATTCAATATTTTGTGTTTTATTTCGCGCTTTCAACTTAGAAGCAGCCGACAAATTAGACTCAAAGCGACGAGAGATTCAATGCGACGATACGAAATGTATCCGAATACGAACATCGTTTAAAGAGACAATTATCGTCCGTTGTTATCGCAATGAAGAAGTAATTTCAAGTTAGCTAGCGCTTTGATTTTGGGACGTACATATTTTCAATATGTGTAAATCGCGCGAGATATCTGTCTTGCCGGTTAACCGAGCATCGATAGCGAATCGCGAGGATTCAGCGATCACGCGATGATATCGATCACTGATTATTCACAGAGAGCGATCGCGGTTTCTTCCCGTACTTATCGCGAACGCGTATCAAGAAAGAATAATACGATATGCTAACCGACCCGTTCGACTGTCGCCGCGTGAATGATTTGGCACAATGAGAATAGACTGTTTTCGACCGAAGTGTTTACGGCGCTACGTAACTTCTCGGAACTGGCGCTCGGCGTTCGACGCCCGAAATTTGAACATGTTGACTGATAAACCTCAATAATCGACGAAATTTTAAACACATTTATTTCTAAAATATAAGTAAGAACTTATAAGATGCCAACGAGAGGCCAAGTTCTATAAGTAAAAAAAATATATCCTTTTGATATATAAATCGAATTGTGAGCCATTTCTAATGCGTCTATTTCGGGACGACAGTGGCTGCGGATTATTCACACACGTGTAATTACTTACGTCTACTTACATCTACGGGTTAATTATTTTCAAGCAGGCGTTTCCCTCATGGTCCACTTCCGAATCACAAGAATGAAATTAATGCAATCGTTAATCAGATTAGTCAAATGTATTACGCATATATCGATCCGACGTTAATTTCTAGTTTATACACTACGGGAATATCGCGCGGCGTTGATTAATCACCTTTGTAACGTCCAACGTAGAACGCATGCCGCACATTTGACTACGTGCGCTGTGTAAACAGGCCGAATTATTAGGACTGCAATTAATTATGCGGTAAAAAGTAATTTATCGTCGCATTCCCAGCGGCCAAGCCCAATGAACGATTTATCGGACGCCCGCTCGGAGAACAGAAAAATAAATCAAAAACTCCGTTTAATTAGCCGCTTTGACGGTTACAAGCGCAAATTCATAATCACAAAACGTCATCGCGTAGAATATGAAAAAAATAGCCGGCAATGCGTTATCGCCAATTTTCGCTTCAAAAGGCAGGTGCGCCGTTCAGGGGATATTAATGAATTGAAAAAATCGATAGCACCGCCAAAGGACGGATAAGCGTGAATCCCTTTTAGCGATCCCTCGCACGGAAGTAATACGGTTCGAGACTTGTCTTCAACTTCTTGAATGAGCGACGGCGAAACGGAGCAGCAATAAGCAACTTCGCCGAATCGCGCAACGGCCATTTAGACGAGTGTTGGAAGACGATGGCAGTAATTAATGAGGCATACGTAAAACCGAAGGGGGAACTTAGGGAAAACTAAGTAGGCACGTGCGCTGCAACTCCCGTTGCACCAGGGAACTTGTGTTAATGAGTCTTCTAAGGAAGAAGAAGCAACACTAGAACCGTAGACAACATCTTCTAATTATTACACACAAATTACGTCTTTGATCTAACGGATAGAAAATCAGTGATTTTAAGATATCCTCGTATAAAGTCTGATGTGAAAACTGTGCTTGAAGAAAAGAACTTTGTTCGAAATTAAAAAGTATCTTCGGAAGCTATTAATCTAACAAAACTGTGAAAACAGTAAAAATTAGTGCACCTTTCCTTTCATTCGTTTCAAGATGCTTAGAAGAGACATTAGCCATTATATTATTAGGTATTATGCTGGTAGATGAATGCGAACTGTTTTTAAAATGCTGCACGTGCAATTTCACTTGTTTTGTTATATTTCGTTTTCGTACAAATTTATTCAGCATCTTTTTCTTCCGCTCTACGTTATTGTAACTGTTTAATGTAACATTCGCGTAAAAGACTGCAGCGTTCGTCATTTGCATAATTTAAGTCGTGTGTATCTCAGGTGTGTAACGAACATGAATTTTGCATTTCGAACGAATAGTCCCGCAACTTTCCCACGTATTTTCTCGTTACTCCCGATAAAGCTTTATTATAATACACAATAGTTTACTCAGCGGGCATTAAGCTGTTATCACATTGAATTGAACCGTTACAAGGGTCAAATTGTTAATAATGAGAAACAAGCATATGTTGAAAGCAACCAGATAGAGATGAGCAAA